TTAACCCTTGATGTTCTTTGGAAGGTGGACAAGGTCAGACCAACCTTGGATTTTACCAGTTTTGGTTGGATTTTGGATGCGCATTAATAGAAGCTTTTAAAGGTATCCGTAATTTTTCCATTGAGGATTAATGATAGACCGCTTAAAAGTAGAATCCGTGCTCGTTAAAAAATCGAGGTCGGCGGCAAGAAGTCGGCTGTCCGGCGCCCGCGGTCTCCGAGTATACATATCCCTTCGCCCCCTCCCCTCTTCCGTCTCTCCCATGGCCGAGTGGTCTAAAGCGCTTGCCCCAGGCAAGCGTCCCGGGTTCGGTTTTGCACGGCTTTTAGCACCTACCGTAACCCGGCATTCTAAAACACAATTTCTCTAAGATCTTAGACCATTCAAACGAGAACGGACTCTACCTTTAAGCGGGTTATTCTTGTTTCCCCGAAATTTCCCCTTTTGTCGAAATTTCGTTTTGTCGAAATCCCAGTGTCTTTTTTGCTTCGATTGTTCATCTCAAGCATTTAGCGAATTGAAATTTCAGTGCACAGAAATTTCGACAAAATCAATTTTGCCATACGGCTAGTAAATCCCTTTAACCTATGGTACCAATGGGCCCTTAAGAAATTTCGCTTTTTTCTCATGCGCCAGACAGCCTCTAGGTAAGCCTAAAGGTCCATTGAAGTCGGAAACCCATTAGTTTTTCCACAATAATTTCTCACCTCCGCCACCCAACAAGGTAAAATGATTTTCATGAATTCCTAGACTGCTCGAATCCATTCACTCTGATTTCTGACATAACTTTTCTTCAAGTTGGCTCGTTGTAGCCAATTCTATGGCTTCGTAGCCCAAAAAAGAGTTCCACGTCACGTTCAAGTGATCACTGACAAATAATGATTCACACGCCCACACCTGGGTCTCTAATATTCACTTCGGGTCTGGATTTGGTTCCGGGGGGCATATTTTAGGGAAATCCCCCCCCCGCCTCCCTACCTAGATGACAACATGATTAGAATAAAGCTCTCGAGGGTGTCGGGTTTGGCTAGGGATCACTTTCTCAGAAGAAGCTATAGGCTACACCGCATAAACTTCAGTATACTTTTAATGGTATTAGGAAGCACGAAAACCAACGCTTAGGTACGCTAGTTCTTGACGAAAATGCCAAAGATATAGGTTTCATGACCATAGGTTTTTTCTATCCGATTCAGAATTTTGTCTACGATGAACCTTTAACGGGCCTCGTAACTGCAAAGTCGGCCCTTGCGTTGGCTAGGTCTCGACAGACACGCGACGTTCCTAAAGACGAGTAAAAGCTTCTCGCAATTTTTCCCAGGCGAGATAATTGGTGTTATTCGTAGTTGTCGAGGCCTAGTCATAGGTAAGGGAAGATACTTGAGCTTTTTAGCTTTGTGAAGGCATATAAAGTAGCTGATATCATCGTGTATCACTTTTCATAGCGTAATCGGATGTATCGTCATCGCAAGCTTATCCGATTTTGGCCTCAAGGGCGCAGAGAGAAACCCTAAAATCTGGAGACCCTCCGGATAACTTATTTTCCACAAAAAAACCCCCGAAAAATCGGGGTTTCCACCTCGGATTGACCAGGTCCGCCGAGGCTTCGGGTCCATGCAAAAACACGCATCTTTTGTCGTGGTCGTCGCCTCTCCGGACCGCCCATAAATTTCTGAGGCCATCAGGGGAGGGGATGCAGAATGGGGAGAGAACTTTGGAACGGCGATATATCGGGGGAGGGGGCGATTGAATAAATGTCTGGATTAGAGGGGCTGGGGCTAGCTGGTGTATTGAGTTGGTCTCGTGTCAAGCACGGATTTTAAATGGGTTGTAAGCGGGTTTTTGGCTTCATTAGCCGCCAATCGTCTGCCAGAGGTTGATCTTAAGGTATTCTTATACTTCATAGGCCATAGTAGTGGTTTTCACTGGATTTTGCTAGTTAGAGATGCGTTTTCCGGTCGAAGCTATAGCTAATCGCTACTTTTAGTTTGAAAGGTATGAATATTTGATTTTTGACTTCTTTTAAAGAGTTATTTCTATAGTTCTGCCTTCTTTACAGGGGTTTACACTCGCAAGCTGGCAATCTTAGCGGCTTGCGGTCGCGTTGCGGCTGTGCTACGCCCCTAAGGATTCAGAATTTCAGGCCGTGCACACTTTTCGGTCCGGGTTAATTGACTGAGACAACGCTTTTTGAGAACTCGCGGTTAGAAACGCATTAATGATCCCCTCGCACCTTTTGGACTGTTGATGGCGCGTTAAGACAGCTCAGGAAAGTTGAGGCAAGCCAGAAAGTCATCAGAAATTTGAAATTTTCGTATTTTCGCAAAATTTTATCCGCTTCCGATTTGTGTAGACATCACGAGTTCATAGGCCAATGCTGTTTTTATCATTTTCCCACCGCAAAAAATCTAATTGCTCCGATGGGGGTGGTGGTGTTTGTTCCGGGTAAAGCTGATTTTGGGGTGTTTTTCCTGAGCTTATTCTTAGGTCTATAGCCACCTTAATTTTCTGCGAGCTTTCAGCGCTGATTTTTCCGATATTCTAGTCCAAATTAGAGAGAAATAAATTAAAAACGACTTAAAAACTTTGGATGATTTTTGAGGGCGGAAACCCATTTCTCCTAAATCCATTTCTCATAAACCCATTTCTCATAAATCCATTTCTCATAAACCCATTTCTCATAAATCCATTTCTCCTAAACCCGTTTCTCATAAATTCCATTTCTCATAAATTCCATTTCTCCTAAACCCATTTCTCATAAATTCCATTTCTCCTAAACCCATTTCTCATAAATTCCATTTCTCATAAATTCCATTTCTCATAAATTCTATTTCTCATAAATTCCCTTTCACATAAATGTGACATAATTGAGGGTTGGGTCGGGCTGAGGAAGCGGAAGGCGATGTTCGGAGAGTTGCCGATCACCACGTCGCTCATTGGATTGATGATTCCACCGGAATTCGCTGAGTACCAGAACGGTAGCGGCAAATTTGGCAATTTCGCTTGACTTCGATATAGGGACATACTATCGTGGTCATTTTGGTGAACGTTCGATTTTAACGGTGAACGAAGTAAAATTTTGAAAAACAATGCTAGGAGAATTTATGAGAAATGGGTTTATGAGAAATGGAATTTATGAGAAATGCGTTTATGAGAAATGGGTTTAGGAGAAATGGAATTTATGAGAAATGGGTTTATGAGAAATGGGTTTATGAGAAATGGATTTTTGAGAAATGGGGTGCAATCATTTTTGAGGTCCAAGACAATCACGTAACGGTGTCTAAATCTGACTTCCTGCTCCAGAAATAACTAGATTTTTTTTGGAATCCAAAATGCGCAGCACCTACCTTTCCGAGCCCTGCCCATCGCTCTAAATATTCTCGCAACACCACAAATCTCATTATTCACACACACCCGCCTACATGGAATGGGATGAGATGACCTTCTTCCTTCATCTAGGGCCCTCTTTTTCCACCTTTTCGACTTATTCTTCCCTCACATCTCCTTCCGCCCCTTGCATCACCTCAACGACGCGAGGTTGTGAGTAGGTGGCGGGGCAACTTGAAAACAAAATTGGATTGGCTTTTGCAATTGCGTAGCGGGTCACTTATGAGGCTCGATTTTGAGGCATTGCTGATGCTCATCTTCTCAAAAAGCAGCGCTGGATACAACGGAGCACCATTGCCTCAGCGCGTTGCGGATAGCTTGCCGCCTTGTGTTGCGCGTTCGCTGCGATTTGCGTCCGTCTTGCGTTGCGTCAGCGGTTCCACTTCCGTTTGCGGCTCGCGCTGCGGTTCGCTGTGTTGCTCGCGCTCCTCCTTGCGTACCGATTCGCGTTGCGGCTTGCGTTGCGGCGCGCGGTAACTCACATGCAGGTCTCGTTTTACATCACGGCTGGCGCTGCGTTGGTGTCGTGGTTCGCGTTGAGGGTCAACTTCTACCCCGCGCTGCGGCTCGCGTCGACCCAGCTAGTCTTCTTCGCGCAGTTTTTGAGCGCAAACCTTTGTGATAACGCACCTTAAATGAATTTCCGCGGAAATGATATCACCTAAAATTTAGTATCCTGACTCTTACGACTTGCAAACTTTGATATGTAGGTAGTTATAGTTTTTGCATTACTATCCAACGCTGTTCTCTGTCATCTGAACTCCAACTCTTCTCAGCTAAGCCTTTTCGAACCGTTAAACCCTATTCAAACTTGCAAAAGCTATTCAACCCGCCGGATTAGGTATTTTCCGAACGGCTACGCTTGAGTACACTTGACAAACTCAAGCAGTTGTTCGCTTTGTAAGGCTTCTGTGTCTTTGTTCATTTTTTAACAAAAACCGAGCGGGGGGGGCACGGCTTAATCCCGGAACCCCCAATAAACGCCTCTTCCCGAGATCTCCGCTTTTTGCTCCTCATTTCCGAGACCGCTAAATTTATTGGCTTTTTCTTTGATTGAGAGGGGACTTGAGCCAGACATAAGGCAAATAAAAACGCTTAAAAACGTGTGCATCCTGTAGTTCTCTGAACACCCGGGGCTTTTGAGATAATCACCCTACAAATTATGCCCTGGAAATCGTTTGTACTTGCCTGAAAATGGAGGTGTAGTGACAAATTTCGCGTTGGGACATCGATAAAATTAGAGGGGTGGCTATAAAAAGGGCAACAACGAGCAATTGGTTTTTTGAGGGCACGACGACAAAAGCTGCGTGATGTTCCTGTATTCGTGTTTAAGGTTTTCGGTTTTTCACTTTCCCTCTCGCTCTCTCTGACTCTCTCTCGTTCTCTCTCACTCACTCCCTCGCTCTCTCTCTCTCTCCCGCTTTCTGTTTGTAGCTCGCTTTTTCTATCTGGCGTTGTCACACTCGTTTTCATCAGGTTTTCAATTCGTTTTTCAGCCTTAAAATTTTTTATTTTCAATTTTTAAAGGACGTTTTATTCAAATTCTTCCCTTCGCGTCGTTTTTTATTTCCCTTACATTCTAAATTATTTTGTGCAGACTCGACTCACTCGCGGGAATGCAGCCTCTTTACTGGCTGTTCGTGCTCGGCTGCTCCGGGGCCCTGGTCTACGCACAGGAGGAAGACAATGGGGAGGCGATGTACGGTTTGGAAAAAATTGAAAAAGTAGCCGAATTAAAATCAGCAAAAACTGAATGGTTTACCCTTTTTGGCAGTGATTTAAGAACATAACTCTACGAAACCTTCTTTTCCAGCGCTATCCTCGAAGAAATAAACGCACAAAACGAGGCGATGGAGGCACCGGTGGAGGAAGCGTAGGTTTTTCAGATATGTGTTCTACAGCTTTATGAAGGTGTCAAACTGATTAAAAAAAATAAGAATTAAATGTTGATTGTTGATATTTTAGCTACTCGATGGAAAAGCGAGCACCGATGGACCGATCGAGCATGGTTCGGTGGGTCTTTCAAAACTATGCAATAACGGGAGCTAGTGAGCGAAAGAGTGAGGGTGAGAGTGAGAGAGAGAGAAGAGAGAGAGAGAAAACGAAAGCCAGCGTCGCAGAGAAAAATTTTTACAAAATTCTTCAGTTTCGGAAAGCGAGCTCCGATGGACCGTTCCTCAATGGTGCGTTTTGGCAAGAGGGCGCCGATGGATCGATCGAGCATGGTTCGGTAAGTAATTTCAAGTTGTTCTTTCTCGCTCCCCTATCTCTCACTCTCGCTTCTCTCGCTCTCCTCTCTCACGTCCACAAAAAGATAGGCCCGAGATAGTAATATGAATTTTTCTTTTTTTTTTTTTTTCTTCAGATTCGGCAAGCGAGCACCGATGGACCGATCGAGCATGGTTAGGTAGGTAAATTTGATACCGATTTAATTTTCACGTGTTTTTGATCATATTGCAACCAGGAAGTAGCCGAAAAGCGAAAAAGCTACCCTAACGTACCACAGACCTCATTATTAAATTCTAACGTATTGCACGCTAGCCCAGCCTAACGAATTTCCGCCGGCTCAATTTGCCACGCTTGACCGATCTAATTGTAAGCGCCGGAAACGCGAGAAGTAAATTCCATTTCCGCGCAAAAAATTGCATATTCGCGGAAATGTGCCGATATTTTGCCCGAGTTTTCCGAATCGTCTGCTATGTGGGGGTGTGGGAATTGCTGAAGTTGCGGTCTGGTCGGCTCTGGCTCTAGCGTCTAGAGGAGCCGCAGTTTTCGAGAATTGATGGGATGGGTCCACGTATAAGTGCATTCAGGGAAAACCTGGGGTTGACCCTAGCGCTTTTGATTTTCTGGCATAGAGCCATCGGTCTGAATTCCGTTTCAAGATATTTTTTGAGAAATTAGCTAGCAGGGATCCTTTAGGAAATTTACAGCTATTAGCGAATTTCCTACAAAAATAATCTAGAAATGTTTCAGATTCGGAAAGCGAGCCCCGATGGACCGATCATCCATGGTGCGTTTTGGAAAGAGGGCGCCGATGGATCGATCGAGCATGGTTCGGTAAGCATGAGCGGCTTCTTAACTATCGAGAGAGAGTGAGAGAGAGCGGGAGATAGAGCGAGAGAGAGAGAGAGAGAGAGAGAGAGAGAGAGAGAGATAGATAATGAAGGAGAGCAAGATAAAGAAACAGAGAGACAGGGAGAGAGAGACACAGAGCGAGACAAAGCGAGAAAGCGAGAGAGAGAGATAGATAAAATTTGCGATTTGAACGACAATATCCAAGAATGACGCTTTGGAAACCACAAATTAGGAATTTACTTTTAGATTCGGCAAGCGTAACGCCATGTAAGCCGAGACCGGTAGCAGTAGAAGCACATCACCAAATCACGAAAAAGGACAAATATTCAGCCAGCAGCCCGTCAAAAACCTATACCACCGTATTGCCTACTTTACCAATTTTTGTGGTCTTTTCTAATTTTCTCTCTTTCCACGAACTGTCCCGATTATCTTGCCCTCCATCCCGCAGATTTTGATTTGAGAAGGCCACTTTTCCTTCCCCCGGTTTCTCCACCACCCCATCAAGTATGATCTCGCTTCATCTTTACGAGAACAAACTGGTTGTTTCTGAGATAAAGATGAGGCACTTGTGATTGAGGTGTATCTAAAATCAAAGTTTTGATACAGCAAGTTGAACCCATTTTCTGAAATCGGAGAAATCGACCCCTTCCCTCGACTAGATCGAGACAGTCCAGGACTGATGTACGGCAATATGGGCATAAATGAAAGACTACAATCCTAGAACTAAAGGGACGGGGAAGCAATTGAATCGCGCCCCTGTGTCGACTAGGCGACGGAGGGGGCGAAGGTGCGTCCGGACGAAGTTTCGGTATGCGCAAGGTGCAGTGAGAAGTGCAGTTTTGAGTTTTGTACAGAGACATAATGTCCACGGCGAGGGCAAAAACCTTCCACGGAACTTTTTAAAACATGTCGTTAACGGTAAGTGAGAAAAAAGAAACAATCGACAATGCTCTACAAGTACCGAATTTCCGTACGTTAGGGTAATCTACAGTAGATGATGATAATTAAATAACCAAGTCCGCCACACCTCCAAAATTCACCCCCGAAATTCCCCCATACCCCCTGTTTTCATCACAACCGGTGTGGGGGTCCAAGCGAGACCTGAAGATAGTGAAGAAGCCGCATCCACCCTACTCCTCCTTTCCGTCGGTTTGCCCTGAGGCTTAGATGGTCACGCCGTCAGGGAGCCCCCCTCGGCTAGTCCCAAGCCCCGGGAGCTTCTTCCCCTCGACCCCTGAAGATTTGAATCCCCCACTCCTCTCGGGCGGCCACAAAACGGTCTGGAATGAGGAGGACACATTCGGGAAACAATGGAATTGAGGGGGGGGGGGGCAAGACGGGCCTTCGGGAGAAGTGTTGGAAGGCGTAAGGTGGCGTGAGAAGTACAGTTTGAGTTTTGTCCAACGTCAAGCTCAACACAGGCGTGCCAACGTCACGTCAATGGCAAGGGCAAAATCTCTACGCTTGCATGCTTTACTTTGAACATGATAAATCCTCAAGAATCTCTGCTAGTCATCTCGGCTCTGCCAGTATCCCCTACCATTAATGTTTCAAATGACCTTGCGTCCTCGGGGGTATTGCTTGATAATGAGAATTGACGAAATTGCAGTGCTTTTTTCCGTATTTCTCGCTCAGCCTGGATTTATCTCTCTCTGTCTCCGTCTCTCTCTATCTCGCTCTATCTATCTCTCTCGCTGTCTCTCACTCCCTATATCTCTCATACGCTCTCGAGCTCAGACCCTAATATCAATAACAACCGCCGCAGAGCCACGGAATGCTGTTCCGCACAACCCCTACCGTAACCCCAGCTTTAGCCACACCTCTTTTCTGCCGGCTACTAAATCCGTGAACAAAGGCTTTGTTGCGCTTTCCATTCCCGGGTCCGGAGGTGTATGATTTGCGGGGGGTACGGTTTTTTCGGGCCACCGTAAGCCCTTCCAAAATTGGGAATCCCCGGGTTTTCCGAGACTGTCATTCTCATTCTCTCGCTGTCCCTCTCTCTCTCTCTCTCCCTCCCTCTCTATCTCGTTCTCTCTTTCTCTCTCTATTTCTCTCTTAGCCAGAGACAGTCTCAGAAAACCCCTACGGGACGGGTCAGTCTGTTTCCAGCCGGGACGCTCGCCTCTGGGGGGTAATCCCGGGTCCCCGTGGGCCGCAAAGCCCTCCGCAACCACACACAACTATGGACGGTCCCGGGAAGGGGGGGGGGAGCCACGCCTTTCTGAATGCGCGACCCCTAGACCGGGTCATACAATCAGCCAAACCCATTCTCCCAACAATGGGGCGCGACACCTTTTGGTTTCCTGGAAATTATGTAGTCTGTCTTCTTCAGTATAGTTTTTAGCACCTCACCTTACCTGTCAATACGGCTATTGGCCTACGGTAATTGACACCTAGCGTTCCCATTGCCATCCAACTGCCATTAAGCTATCAGAGGTATCTTCGGTTCTTCGTGTTGCTTTTTCCTTACTTTTATTCAGTTTTTGCTTCATCTAGTCGGCTTAAGGAGAGCTAGGTTACGACTAGCCGTATTTCAGATTTTCATCTTCCTATTAGGCTACCGTAACCTTGAGAGCTCCGCTTGAATCTTGTTTTCCCTTACGATGTGCACTTCTTGACGTGGTCCTGAGTCGTCCGTTTACAGGAAATAATGTAGTCTCGGCACCATTTCATCAAAAATTTTTGAAACATTTTACCATTTCCGTTTTTTAAGCTTCTACGTTATAGGGAGTTCTAGGCATGTAAATTTTTGAGCCAAACCTACCGGCTTCGAAAAACTAGCTAAAAAAACGATAAAAACGATTGGAGCTGGAACAGACCCCAATTTTGCTAAGGATCTATGAGCTCTTTTTTGCATTAAAATTAGGGGCTATCGGGCTCCCGAAACATCGCTTCCAGGTGACACTCTCCCGATAGAGTAAAATAACCGCGTTGGCGTGAAGATACCACTTTTTTAGTATACTTTTTGTATTAATGCGCGCTTAAAGTCGTTTTAGATACTGACAGGGAGTTAGCTAATTAAAAAACTCCTTATTTTTTGCTCTGACTCGGAAAAGCTGGTAGTTATACTCGAATCCTTAATTTCACGTATTCTGCTTTCGACTCTATAAATACCCATCCAATTCCCTCTCATTTTCAGCCAGCAAAAATGCGAGAATTGTGGCTGGCGTGTGCATTAATAGCAACCGTATGCGGGCAGTCAATCAACAAGGTGCACCTCGGGTTCCCGGAAACGTGGGATGGGGATAAGTATCGGGAACTGTATTGCCCGTCCAAGAATATTCCCAAGTGGCTCGATGGATATTTTTTATGTCAATTATCGGCCAGCTATGGTAATTCGTCAGCTCCGCCTGGTCAGCGTCTCAACCATATGATTGATGCTATTGGGGCTGTTGCTTCGTTTCATATCAGTAATGGGCAGGTGGGCAGTTTTGGGTAATTTAAAACGAGGGTGAGAGAGAGATATTGAAAGCCAAAGAGACAGAGTGAGTTATAGCGTGCCAGAGACAGCCAGAGTCAAAGAGCGAGCGTGAGAATGAGCCGGAGAGCGAGCAAAAGAGAGAGAGGGAGAAAGAGAGAGATAGAGATAGAGAGAGAGAGAGAGAGAGAGAGAGAGAGAGAAAGAGAGAGAGAAGCGAGAAAGCGAAACACTTTTCCGAAATGTTCTTTTGAGGTCTTATTTAAATGCGTCATCATTTGAAAAATTGTCTAAAAAACGGCATTTTGTGGCGTAATTCATTAAACCCTCCAAAAACCAATTCCTCACGTTTTTTCAGGTCGTCTTCTCCGCCCAGTACTACCCAGCGAGGCCCTACAAAATTTGGGAGTTCTACGACCGAAATATGTCAAAAGTAAGCTTTTTGACGTTTGAAGTGGGTTTACGAAACGGCTGGGAATATTTAAATATCGTAATCGGTAGTCATTGACCGTAAAAAATTCCCGAAAATTAACGAAAGAAAAGAAAAACCCTAAAAACTGAGTTTCAGTCCTCGATCCCGTGGGCCGGCTGGTCCGATTATAACCTGACGGCAATGGCGAGATGGGAGCAGGTAAGACTAGTTTTAAATAGACTAAAAAGCGCTAAAATCGACCCTTTGAGGCGCTAGGTCTCGACAGCCATCTGTAGCCTGGACTGTAAGGTAGCTGTCAATACCTTGTCACCCGAAAGGGTTGATTCTACCGCTGGCACGTCTTTAAAGGCCTTAAGATTGAAATACACCAACTTTTTCAGGTCCCCTCGAACCCCGACTCGGCCCGTTTCCACCCGAACCTCGATTTCTGGAAGATTGGAAACCGGGTGATCGCCGGTACTGAAGCGCCCTACTGGGTCGGCTACGAGTTTGACGTCAAGACCCTCAATAAATTCCAATTGTTCCCATTCACGGAGGAGAACGATATTTTCGGAGAGCCCCGGCCTTCGATGATCCCGATTTCGATGGCTATTCATGAGAGGTGAGCAATGCACCTAAAGGAACTGAAAAGTGCCAAAATCGTACCCTTACTGCCACTAGGTGTCGACAGCAAAGCACTACTTTTCTCTCTCTCCCTCTTTTTCGCTCTCTCTCTCTCTCTCTCTCTCTCTCTCTCTTTCCCTCCCTCTCCCTTTCCCCCTCTGCTAATGCAAAATCAAAGCGTAAAAATTTAGAAACGATGCCGACGGTACCATCTGGGGCACATTTTCCGCGATGAACTTCAATGAGCAGCGGTTCTTCCAGGTATGTTAGCGTACCTTTGAGCTTGAGCAGCTTCATTTCCGAATTCTCGCATGCCAATCCAAAATCCAATCAATTTTCAGGGCATCTTCACCGTCGACAAAAATGGCGTAAGACGGGTGGTCGGGCTGTACGACTACGGTGTTTGGGATCAGAATGCCTGTGGGAGGGATGATGAGTATATTGGTAAGTCATGCAACACTTCGTTTTTATCGCTTTGGATCGATTTTGCATCGACAAAATCCAATATTATACTTTAGGCGACAAAACCCTCCTCCCCGGCTACGTTCACTCAATCACCTCCACCGAAAAGTATATCATTTTACCGATCACGTCGCTGCTCATCAACCCGTGCAAGTTTAAGGTGAGTAGCACGTTTTTTTGATGGTATCAATAATGTGCATACAGTAGTATATCGCAAGGTAGAAGTAGTTTACGACGGGTTTTTGCCGTAGTTTACATCAATTTTTACAGGCTTTTTTCAGGGAACTGCTTGTTATAAACACGGTTTTTGCAGCGTTCTTTCAAGTTATACGCGCATACCCTAAAAAGAGCCTTAAAATAGCCCTTTATTCCGTACTGCTCCTCCAAACGCCCTTGGCCTTTCTTTGCGCGCAATTTCGCGCATGCGTGTGCAACCTGAACCTTTTTCTTGGCCGTCAACACCAGACTAGCTAGGGGCCTACAAATTGGCCATTTGACTTGTCTGAAAAGGCGTTTTCGGGCGTTAAATTGATTTGAGCTTCTAAATTGAGCTCTTTTTGCGCTAGGCTTAAAATATGAATACTAGTATTTCAAATTCCTTAAAAAACTCATGAAAAATTATCACAAAATCACTATAGATCCGGAAAACAATCAATAACTTCCTTAGAATAAAATCGAAACAAACAAAATACCGATAAAACTCATTGTGAACCTTGCGACCCTGTGGCCCACACCACTCGACTGTATTTCTGTTGCGAATTGCGCAGATTGTCCGGCCCCCGAAAAACTTTCACCCGGTAGTCGTATTCAATCTGCTGTTTGTTGCTGCCTGCAGATCCCTCTCCTTCTCTATCTCTCCCTCTCACTCTCTCTCTCTCTCTCTCTCTCTCTATCTCTCTCCCTCACTTCACCCAGATGTGCACAATACAAACCCGGGTAACGGTGTGGTGGTAGCGGTTCAGCCAGAGACAGACAATACCTCGGCAAACAATCAAATATGGCCCATCACATACTTGGTCCCTTGGCCCTTTTCGGGTGGCCCTAGCACATACCCAAAGTTGTCAGCCGCCAACAACAATTTGCCGAAGCTGGGGGGAAAGTACGGAAAGCTGGAAGATCACGATCAAGGAGTAAAAAATCCCGGAAGGAATTTATCGTGAACTAACAGCCGAAATGGAGGAACACCTCCCATAAAAAATGATAAAGGCTAGGAAATACGTTATTTTCAAATCTTATAGGGCGCGGCAAATGCGAGAAAGGGTTTAAACGATGTTACGATGACATGATCAAGCTACTGTCAAATTTCAGGAACCCCCAATGACCAACCCTCGCTCGGCGATCCAGAATGGAGGCCTCTGGGGCATGGATTTCTATGATATGGTACCGATGAGGTAAGCCATCCAATCATACATAAATACACCTTAACCATTATTAACTACCAAAAAAAGCGTTTTTAATTTAATTTTATTTTTCTATATTTCTTGCTTTATTGCAGATTCTTGGTGTTCAACAAGAAGACAAAGGAATGGGTGACGCCAAAGCCCCTCGAAGTATTCCCCTCAATGTTCGTCACCCATCAACTCAACGCTTTTGATAGTCCGGAAGGGAATATTGTCGCTGATATGGTAAGGGAAAGAGCGAGAGAGAAAGAGCGAGATAGAGAGAGAGCGAGCGATAGTTATAGATAGATATAGATAGTGAGAGACTGAGATAGGGAGAGGGAAAGATAGAGAGAAAGAGTGAGAGAGCGAGCGAGAGAGCGGGAGAGACGAACAATTCCATATATTTTTAGGTCGTCTACGACAGCCACGACCCCTACGTCAAGTACTTCTACACGGATTTCCTCACCTCTCAGCTCTACCCGTCCACCGCCAGAATTCTCCGATTCACCCTCGACGTCAAGCAGCACCGTGTCATGTACTCGTACTTGATCCCGCAGGTAAGTAATTCGAGACATTTATCGACTTCTGAAATTGTTCATCAAAATTTTCAACCTTAGGAAACCATCTCCGCCGACTTCCCCCAAATCAACCGCGGTTACGAGGCTCGGGCTTATCAATGGAGTTGGATCGTCGAGCATCCGTTTGCAGCTGATAACAAGATTATCAAGGTTTGTATTGGATACTCATGACAATTTTATCATTAATTCGTATACCTTAATTATCTCTAAAATTCTTTAGATTAACGTTGACGACCCATCGGGGCAGCGAAACGTCGAGTACAAGGCCGAAAGCTCTCTTGTACTGCATGAACCGTGGTTCGTTGCTAGGCCTGACTCCAGAAGAGAAGACGACGGTGTTTTGCTGGTCAGGGCTCTCGATTTGCATGAGAATAAGGGTATGATATCGTCCATTTTTGCAACACTGTGATGATAGGAGTATTGCTGGTCCTTGATGCCACGACAATGTCGGAAATCGGACGAGCTTACGTGCCGATAAATGTTCCATTTGGGTTCCACAATCGGTTCTTTTCGAAGAAGGTACGAGGAGAGAGAGCGAGAGAGAGCGAGAGAGAGAGAGAGAGAGAGGTCGAGAGAGAACCTCTTGCTCCCTTTCCCTCTACTACCAATTTTCTAGGATCTCGGCCTCCCGGAAGGCGTCCCACCTACCCCTCAACTTGCCTCGCAATTCCGCCCTGGCAGCCCCACCGAACTCCTGAAGCGAAGGGTAAGGAAGCGAACCGTAATTTGGCATGCAACGTACATCACCAGCAGGGAAAGACTCATTTTCAGCAATTCATGTCTACCCGAAAGTTCGCTCCACCAAGCACCACCACCACCACGGAGAAGTCGACGACGCCGAGCAGTACGACTACCACAACCACGCCTAGCACGACCACCAGCACTACACCAAGCACTACGACCAGCACTACGACTACGCAGAGACCTATTGCTGTTGGTTTTGAAGTAGAGAAACAGAGAGAGAGAGAGAGGGAGAGAGAGAGAGGAAGCGAGATATAGAGAGAGCAAGAGATTCAGCTTCTCATTTCAGCCAAGCTCATCCTCGCGACCGATCTACCAGACGATCAAGACGACGACAACGACCACCACGACGCCGAGACCGCAAACAATGACGACACAAAAATGGACTCCGTACGTAACGACGACGACTGAAGCGACGACGACCAGTAAGTGTTAAGGAGGCTCATGGCAGGCTAGCAGAGCTTCTTGAATTCTTGGGAAGGCGGAACAAGCAAGAAATCGGCATTTTAGCCCCACCACCTACCACAACCGCCAAGATTCCAAGGTGGTGGCCACTGGCTAGTGCTGCGACTGAAGAACCGTGGTGGCAGAAGGTATCGAATTTTTAGGAGAGAGAGAGAGTGAGAGATGGAGAAAGAGAGAGATGGAGAGAGTGAAAGAGGGCGTGATCTAAAGAGCTGGGTAATGATCGAAACCAGGGATAGACAAAGAACTAGAGATAGAGAGAAAGGCAGAACGCGAGAGAAAGGAGAGAACGAGAGAGCGAGAGAGAGAGAGAACGAGAGAAATAACGAGAACGAAAAATACTTTTCACTTAAAAATACTTCTTCTATCAGGTCCGCCCAAAGCAAGCCACCCTCCCCCCAGTCCTCACCTTCGGAGGAGTCGACAAAATTCCGGTGGCGAGGCCCGCACCTAGCCCATCGGTAAGTTCTGTAGGGTTTTTGAAAACTTTTCGGGATCTAAGAATACGTATTAAACACTAAGTTTATTTAGGTAGCCCCGGTCTCCACAAACCAGATCTCGACCGAGAACCTGAGGGGCAATAACGCTACGGCGATTGAGGACATCTATGAGGAGACGCTGAACGCGTTGTGTAGATGGTTGCCGAAGGTATCGTATTGAACTTACGGCGTAGACAATCGAAGTAACGTGGCGCTAACTTTGATGGCTTTTCTTGACGTTACAGTAGCGTTGATACCTAGAAAGTGACAACAATGTGTCAAACCAAACGAGACTTGGAAACGGCCGATTCCCGAAGAATATTTACTAGTTTGCCCTCGTGCTCCTAAAAAATCCTCCTAAAAAAATCGCGCGATCGGCCAGAAAATTTTAAAGGAACCGGCAAGGCGTGGCTACGTATTTATGGACGATGGTTTCCAATTATGCCGCCACCCGAACAGCCGAAACGCCGTCGTATTCCATTACGCAATAAAATGGAAAAACATACGCGTCGGGTACCGCTTCGACTTTTTTTGAGTTGATTCGACAGTATGAATTTTTGACCTTTTGTTTTCAGCATTTTGAAAGGAACCTCCTTTCTTACGTGCCGCAAAAACCATGGTCAGGAGAATGCATAGGTTCGCCTTGCCCAACCCTTTAAAATAACCCGAAAATCAGCAAGAAAATCTGAAAATAATAAAATTTTAAATGCGGTATCTTCAAAAGTATATAAAGCCCATTTAACAAGGCAATCAACCGAGACAATACTATTTAACCGGAACTTCCAGGTGTTCTCGGCCATCTCCCACGACCTGTGCATCCAAAAGGGCAAACAGGCAGCCAAGTGAGATTGCCAGAAATGGCGTGTGAAGCTTACCTATTTGGTTATCCTATTTTCAGCTTCCCCGCCGACCTGCCCCCGGCTTTTTAGTTCAGCTTCTCCCTGCTCCTATCTGTCTCCCTACCTGCTACACTCCTGATTTCTTTCGGTTGTGCTAACGTAACTTTTTCCGTTTAGTTGGCTAATGCAATGCACCTATCCCCTAACTAGGGAATGTTTTGGGGCGGACATCGGACCCAGATATGTGAGTATGTGCATCTTGTAGAGCTCGACGAGACGAATCGATTGATGTAACTTTTAGCTGCGGATACCTTATTTTAATAAAGTTACAGCAGTTTAAAGTTTTCGGACCTACCTTCATAAGCCCTTCCCACGTCCCCTTCACCGTGGTTTGGTGGCCTAGTGGTGTAGTAGGCGGCGTCTGGGGAATCTAATGAGGGTTCGAACCCGCTCACGATTTTTATTTTTTGCTTTTTCGTCCAAAGGTCCCTCTTTGCTTTCTAAAGCCTCCAAATAACTTTTTATCCACTAGTTAAACACCAGGACGCGTTCCCAGCAAGAATATAGCTTCAGAAAAAATTTAAACTTTTTTGGGGATTTGGCTGGTGCTCGCTCATGTCTGGAAAATTTTTGGAGGAATTTAGAAAGTTTGGCCTTCCTCTTTACAACCTTTTATCGTACCCCAATTTTCATGCAAAATTTCTCGCCGATTTTGCCTTGAAATGACCCTACTATGGTTAGGGTGTCGATTCCCAAAAATTTTCTAAGTAATGTCTTATTGCTGGGAAAGGGCCCTGGTGTATAAACCGTTATGTTAATTGTAAAAAGTTATTTGGAGGCTTTAGAAAGCAAAGAGGGACCTTTGGACGAAAAAGCAAAAAAATAAAAATCGTGTGCGGGTTCGAACCCTCATCAGATTCCCCAGACGCCGCCTACTACACCACTAGGCCACCAAACCACGGTGAAGGGGACGTGGGAAGGGCTTATGAAGGTAGGTCCGAAAACTTTAAACTGCTGTAACTTTATTAAAATAAGGTATCCGCAGCTAAAAGTTACATCAAACGATTCGTCTCGTCGAGCTCTACAAGATGCACATACTCACATATCTGGGTCCGATGTCCGCCCGAAAACATTCCCTAGTAAGCCCTGGCACGATTAAAATCCTAAAATTTGTGGATTCTAAAAAAGTATTAAAGTAAAAAAAACTTATATTTCGAAATTTTTGGATTTTTGGAAGATTCTTTCAGATAGGTGTTTTAATTTTCGCAATACGAAAAAAAACCGAGATTTCTGATTTTTAGGCAATTCCATCTCAGTTGAACGCTGGAAAAAAAATCGAAATTTGGAAGTTCTAAAATGCTAAGAGAAGAAATTTTTTGTTTCTAATCGTATACGGTCTTTAAAAACATGTCCCCGCCTGTACTAGCCTCAAAATTACGGTATTACCGTATCAAAATTCCCAAATGAAAATACCAGGGTTTTGAGTTTTCGTTAACCTTTAAGGGCCCGAGAAAACAGAACAAAAATTCGTTTCCGTATTAACCGCAGTCGAAAAAAGGAATTTTTCAAAGTTTGCTGGTGAAATTTGAAAGTAAATTTTTTTGCAAGGCGCTCTGTTGACATTTTAGTTCATAAAATCCAATTAAATGCCTTTTCCATACTGAAGGTGTGAATTTCCAGGTCTTATTAAGTCTCAATTTGTCATTTTAAGACTTAATTTTAAGCAATTCACCTTGTGAAGATTTTCAATTCATAAAAATTGAACCCATTCCATTTCCATACTAACCCCACTAAAATAATCCGGTTCAACGGCATAATCAGGAATTTTTAGATGGGTCGCACCGCTGGCCAACTCGTACGCCGAGCGTTTCCGGTTGGGTCGCGTGAATCGAGGGCTGCCCGAGGCCGAGACGCCATTAGTGCGTCCGGCGCTCCGTCCCGCCGCTACCGTGGTCACCCCGACCCCTGGGGCACCATCGCCCCCTCCAACCACCCCCTCCACAGCCCATCAGAAAATTGTGATTTGGCAAATTTCTACTTCTTAATTTTTATTTTTTAAATTCTAAAAATCTAAGCCGACTAAAATTGTTTGTATGGCGCCTTCAATTTAAATTAAGCCCTAATTCGTCTGGCTTAAATGATACCTATAAAAATTTTAAAAGCTGTTTAAGCTGAATTTTGACATTTATTGACTTTGAACAGTATATTTTGGATGAAATATGGGCGGCTTTCGCTTTAAATTTAAACCGAAAGTTATTCTAAGGATTAAACAACATACAAAATCAAATTTTGCAAATTCTTGAGATCCGAAAAAAAAGCAATTTGTTTAAAGATATTTTTACTGTTTTCCAAAGCTGAGCGACTAGTCCAGTATACTTTGCAACATTGGTACCGTAATGCATAATTCTTAAATCTTAAAAGAATAATTTTTAATAAGAAATATACTACGTGCCATACCCATTGCAACGCCTTACTTCCATATGTTAATCATGTGTTCTTCACCCCGCCTGTACAGGTGTTTTCCCGTCCAATTCGTCTTTCAAAATCCCCCGATATCTGGTGTGTCATTTCTAAGATTCCTTGGCGTAATTTGGCGCATAATGTAGCTCATATTGGGCCTCTTCTTGAGATTTTCGTCGCCTTTCTTGGTTTTGTGTATTTCCCATGGTACTGGTGTTTTTGGGGGCTCCAGGAACATTTTCCACAGCTCAAAATTGAGCTCAGAAAATTTCCAGGGCACCCTGAGTGCGAAATAAAGATGCTCAATGCGTTACGAAGTTAAAGTCGAAGACTCCGGTAGGTGGGGTTGGGTAAAAGTAGAGTGCATCTAATGACAATTCGCCGGCCTTATACGGTTAGCCGAGCCGATGAAACATGAATCATTTTATAATAATAGAATTTTACACCGTTCTTAGATATGAAAAATTCACAAAAAACTTATAAAGATTAAATACGTGCGCCCCGCATCAGCATTGCCCAAGTGAGCAAGAATGGAGATAGTATGCGCTCCTGTATGTTTGGGTATCGAATGGCTGAATAACAAATTTGAATCCAGAATATTTGCTTCAGCTATTACTGACCGGGCAAAAAAACATTTGCCGTGCATTTTTACTCGTCCACGGGCGTCCTCTTCCCGAATGTTTCGGGCCATCGTACTCGCCATCTACAACTGCTTCAGGCGCCCCAAAAAATGATGAGCCGCCCCTGGAAGCGGTCGGTTTTTAGCCCGAATTTTAAATGGATAAAAAGCGCAGAACATTGTAGGTGGATATTTAGGTGATCATCGCTCCGCCAACCTGCTCGTCTTCGCCAAACCTTTGTACTGCGCCGTCACAGGCCAGGCAGGATGCTGCCATCACATCCGGCAGACCAGAGATCGTAACGGTATTTTTTAGTTTCTTTACCTGAACAGCCGTTGTCGATACGCAATCTCTCGTTTCCTTCTGCCTTGAGGACTTACAAGTAGACTTTGGCTCAAGTCTAGGAAACCCTCCCCCCCAGCCGAGTTTTCAACTTTTCTACCTTCCTTATTTTTATTTTTCGCTACTTTTTTCGACGGACTAGACTCTTACCGCTGAATTTTGCGCTGATTCCGAATCTGTTGCCCCATCGTGTTATCGTAATCTGCTAAAAATTGATTTTTTTCAGGCCAAAATTGCCAAATTTTTCCCCTTTGAGACATTGTTATACCTTTAGAATGTTTTTCTCTTAAATATAGTTAAAGCTTGTCAAAAACAATGCAAAACACTTTATTTTTGATTATTAGGTTAAGTGTGGCCGCCGGGAAAAAAATTGGTTTAGGTCGAGGCGCCACCGGCCGAATCTGGGATCATCTCATGCCCGAATTGCCATACACGTATTCAGCCTAAACTGAAGGTACTGTCTCGACTAAGCGTCTTTCACCCCGGATTGCCGTAATTCCCCCAGACGCTCTTTTTCCAGAATCCCCCCGACACCCTCATCTCCCTCGAGCAGTTCATGAAAATGCCGCTCCCCATCTGGCTGACCATCCTCAATCAGTTCAGCCCGCTCGACATGCTCAACCTGGCCGCCGCGCACCCGTTTTTCAAGGTAGCCGCGATAATCAGTACCGCTTTTCCATGATGCCAATTTTGGTTCTTTTGCATTATCGGGGGGAAGGGGGAAAACAACTTTTTTCTTAGGAATCATAAGTTAGGAACTAATTTTACAAATATACATAGTGGAAGTGTTTCTAAACCGTTTTTGCTTTTCCTAAAAGCCAAAAATTTGCAAGTTTGTATTACAAAATATTAAAAAAAAAATCGATTTTTGACCGAAAATGGCCGACTTTCAACGAAAATTCGGCTTTTTAAAGTTTTTAGATAATTTCTCTATTTGAAATGTAGTTATATTTGACCAAGAATTTTATAAAACACTTTCTTTTACGTTAATAGGCATTTCTAGGCTTCTACAAAGAAAGTTCGGTCGCTCCCCCCCCCCCCCGGTAATGCGACAGTAACAAACGCAGCAAAAAGCATTGTTTATCCGAACGAAATTCCGACATTCAGGATTTCATCACCAGGGCGCCGAAACGATGGGGCAAATTCATGGAGCGTCACATAGTCGAGGACTACTACGTCGAGGAGGCGAAGTAGCTGGGCGTTGATCATAGACTTTAAAACCCCGTTTTCAGGGCGTACAAGCTGACGAGGACCCGCACCTGGTGGGAAGACGAGCGGAAAACGCTGTTGGCCTACGGAAACGAATACGGCGTAGCCGAAGCACGGTTCTGGACTGTTAGCGGGGGGGGGCATTTTATAGCATTTTACATAGTTTTTAGATATAAAAATACTATAAAAAATAAAAATGTGCGCACAATTTTTTCCAATTTTTGTTTTAAAATGTAAGGAAAACGACCAAAAAGGACAAATTTTCGAAATCTCGAAAAATCGAAAATTTTTCTAACTCTGTTAATCGAAAGCGGCAAAAAAAAACACTATAAAAAATATATATAGGTTGAAGGTAGAAGGTATAAAGTCGCAGTTTGAAAAAAAAGTGGTTTCCCCACTGCTAACCCCCCGCTACAGCCTAGAACCCAATGAACGTTGCTGGTCTAGATACAAACTCGGCCCCGCCTCTTTGCGTCGGTGGGAAGGGAATCGGTGTACCCATGTTCCCCCAGAGGTCGATCGTGATGAGGCGGCCGCGCGGGACCTCTTTCTTCTCTTCAACAACGCCACCTTCGATCAGGTATCATAATTAACGCGGTAGATTACAAAGTCGACGATAGATGTCGAAGCGGTGCTTCCCTGTTAACTTCTATTTCTACGTCTATCCCTTATCTTGTTGCTGACAATGGCGTATTTTTTACAGCCTTTTTAGTAATTTCTAGAAAGTTATAAAACTTTTTTAAAAACTTTAAAAATGGAAATTTTTGAGGTTTTTTAGCCATTTTTCAGACATTTTTGACGTACGGAATTACCCGGGAAAATGCATTCCCCCCCTCCCCGTTAACAGGGAAGCACCATCGAATCCGTCCAATCAAAATCATCCCCAAGTTGTAACGAACTTTTCAGCTCGGCGTCGGCCCCAGGTGGAAGCTGCCCGGGCCCGACAAGTACAAGGTCTACCCAGCCGTCCGCGCCCGCACCGTCATGTTGTCAAGTCCAAATAAAGAGCATTACGCCCAGATGGGTAGGCCATGGGTTCTGGTTCAGTAGCGGGGGGAAATGTTAATGTTGTAGATTTTGCAATTTTTCGAATTTTTTGGAAATTACATCATCATCCCGACCCGGTAGCGCATCAAAAAATTACCAGAAATTTTATTTCTGGGTCAAACCGCCACAATTTCAGAACGTCATAGAAAAAGCAAAAATAACGCTGCAAATGCGGTTGGCAAGCTATTTTTTCGTGATTTGCGATCATCAAAAAATTTGCTAAGGTTTTGTATATACAGCTCAAATAAAATCATTTAAGATGAGCGAAGAGGTTATGGTATACTTTGCCCTCCCCCCAGCCGGAAGTTTTTGGCTATAACTTTTTGATCTTACATCATTGTAGGCTCAAATTAACACTCGTAGCATATTTTTCGACGCTCTATCGAATGGCGCCGCAAAAATCCCGACAAAAGAAGCGAAAATACAGAAAACTTTGAGACCCTTCGGCTGTGCGGGGGTGAAGTAAACTCTTACCAGGGAAGCTATTGGCAAAAAATGCCCCTCTCCGTTAACCCCCCACCCCCCGTTAACGCACCAGCACCAGATCATTTCCAGGACGATACCTTACAAGTCTTTTCAGCCCAATTGGAGCCGCAATGCGTCACCCTGGACGTCGGGAATGATGGTGCTGGAAAACTTCGCGCGGCTGTACGAAAAGTGACATCAATTCTCCCGGTGCTACTCTGTCTCCATACCTTGAAATTATGCTTTCCCAGGGTCTGCAAAAGCTGTGGCTGCTAATTCCCTACAAAGTCGCGGAAATCGCCATGCTCGTCGACGTGAAGACCCCCGCGATCACGGCCCAATTCGCACTGCTTGAACGTTGGTTGATTGTGGATTGTTGGCGCGGGGTGGACAGGAGCAGCCATCTAATCTAGCAACAATATGTCGTGTTGATGGTTTCTGACTTCCAAAATTCACTAAAAGGTTTTTAGAAACTTTCAAAATTTGAAAAAAAATGAAAAATTGCCGTAACTGGACCATTTTGGGCCTTTCTCAACCTTTTTCTTTAGGATCCAACTTTTCACACATAAATAGAGGAAGTGTTTCTAAATGGTTTTTACCACTCCTAAACGTTAAACTTTGTCATTTTTGATTAAAAATATCGATTTTTTTTGCCAAAATTCTACTTTTTTTCAGCATTCTTAAAAGTTTGGATAGTTTTTCTAGTCGAAATATATTAAGAAAAAAACGATTAAAACACTTTCTATGAACTTAATAGGAACCAGGGTTGAAAAGCCGCTTCGCGACTTTTCAACCCTGGCCCCGTCTGACCCGATGATATTCTCCACTTTGCATAATTCTCACGATTTTCGATGACAAAAAATCAGAAACGTTCCCTCCCTCTCTTCCCTTATATAGGCTATCGCAACTTCCGGCGCATGCTAATTGTTTCCTAACAAAGAGGGTGGCCTGTTTTTCAACAAAAACTTAATTTTAACGTCGAAAACAGCTCATTTTTGCAAATTTTATTGGTGTGCAGTCATCCGCAGGCCATTACGCACCTAATGACGTATCAAACATGCGCTTAAATACTCCCCTTATTGAGATACTACTGGAACAACCTGACGGAAGTTGCATGCAAATGCACACAGACACACACACAGACACTATTTTTTTATATATAGTAGGATTACTAGAATTATATAATACATAAAAAGTTCGGTCCCCCATAATGCAGAAGAGCCATAATTTTATTGATTTTTCCAAGGTAAAACGCGGTAAGCAGCCATAAAAAAAGGGTTTATTGCCTTATTGAGTCCACTTTAGTTTTTATACGAGGACTTCCCGCCAATCCCGACGTTCTCAAGCAGCTCAACAACACCCTGGAGACGACACTGAACACCCTGATCGAGGTCGGCGATCTAGTCATGCGATGCTGGTCTCTTCGCCTTCTTGCCTTGATTGACCAAATCCAGCGGACGCTCTGCGTTTCAGCAGTGGCAGCGGCGTGAGCGGGAGATAGACAACATCGCGCTGATCGCACTGTGGAAAATGGTCTCAGCTGCTGGGCTGCCGTCTATGAGGACCAACTGGACCCATCTCTGCCCTGGTACGTAATTGTGATGTTTTGCTGGCAAAAAGAGTTCTTTTTCGAATCATCGAGGGGACCAACTTTTTTCTTAGGATCGAATTTTTTAAATATAAATTGTGGAGGTATTTCCAAATGGTTTTTCTCTTTCTAAATTTCTATTCCTGAACGTTAAAAATTTACAATGTATATATAAACTACTATATATAAAACAATAGTATCTGTGTGTGTGCGTGTGTGTACACTTTACATAAATTACGCGAAAAATGGAGGGTTCTGTTCTCTTTCGCGGGGGAGGGGGACTGTGCGGGGGGAAGTTCTTCGGTTGTTATAACTCTTTTATATGAAGCTATTTTGAGTTGTAATTAAAACTCTTAGTATATTTTTGAATGTTTTTTTTTTATGAATGGCTTATTATGATTTTTATGAATTGAATGCGTCGCGGAAACTTCCATCTTTTCGCTATTTGATTGGGATTTTTGCAACGCCATTCGATAGAGCATCAAAAAAAAATATACTAAGAGTTTTGTTTTAGCTAAAAAAAAGTTATAGCAAAAACAAAACAAAAAACTATTGAAACTGGTGCCGGAATGTTAGTTTTCGGCATTTCCGCCGGTTTTTCGATATTCTGAATCCGTCATTCGATGAACCCGGTTATTTTAAAAAAATATTAAAAAACTATTTAATGGTGGATTTTTGCCCGAAGTGTCGCCTTTTTTCGGAGTCTAAGGATGTTTTTTAGTTGAAATATACCTTCCCCTTCGCCCCCCTCCCCGATAATGCAAAAGAACCGCAAAACCTTACATAAACGCGGTTGAGAGAAACTAGCCGCACGCCTAGTTGTGGGTAATACAAATTTTATTATCAAACCAGCGCCCAAAACCCGCTTCGCGGGCCTTGGGCGCTGGAATGCGGCCCTTGCATGAGAAATTTGACTTTCCAATAGCTTGGGTCCTGCGGACCCCTCCCTTCATCCGACCACACCCGCGCGTGCAACTTGCAAGAATGAGGAAATTTGTATTTTTTGGAATTATGCAAAGTACCCTCCCTGGCGCCGGACACACACACACTAGAGTGCGGCTTATTCAAACCGGGTTTGAATAAGATTTCCGTTATTCAAATCAAACCGGTTTGATTTGAATACGGGATCCTTATTCAAACCAAACCCGGTTTGAATAAGGATTCCCAACTCAAACCAAACCAAACCGGTTTGAATAATTTGAACAAGGTTTGAATAAGAACCAGTCTCCGAAACAGTCTGTTTTCGGCACCATTTTTGCGTTTTGGCACCAATCCTTTTGTGAATTCACTTTAGGGTGGTTCAGCAGCATTCCTGCCAGGTTTTTGGGGTTAGCGGATCATTTCGAGACCTTTTTCTTTCAGCGCTGCCAAGGTTATCCCGACCATTCGGATGCTTGTGAAAGGTTGTGAATGCCAAGCCTATCGTTGAAAAAGTGCGTAAACCCCGTAAATGATGCGAATTTCATCATTATATTGATCACACAAGGTTTTAGAAGGGATGCCTCGAAATCTTAGCCGATTAGCATCCATCCAATCGATTAACATGCTGATTTGCCTGTTGTTCAAACCAATTCAAACCAACTCAAACCTGGTCGGTTTGGTTTGAATAACGGATCCTTATTCAAACCAAACCGGTTTGATTTGAAAAGCAGATTCTTGTTCAAACCGCCCTTATTCAAATCAAGCCGGTTTGAGTCGCGATTTGATTTGAATAAGCCGCACTCTACACACACACACAGAGATACACGCCAAAATTATATAAGGTAGGATCCATTTTATGCGCGACTGCGACTGTGACTATCGACGTTTAGGAACCCGCGAGATGCCCGCCAAGCTGTGCGAGGGCAAGACCGACCCGCACTACATCAAATGGGTCAAGGAATCGCACGGATTCTGGCTAATTCGCCGCGGACCAGGGGTCAGTTGATCACCGGTTCCATACGACGAGTTCACTTTCCAGAGTCGCGATGGCTTGTTGATCGGTGTGAAAGGGCCCAGCTTCCTGCTGATCAGCTGCGACTACAACTTCCGCAGGTGGGATGATGGAGATCATCAAATGATCGTCAAAATATTTTGTTGGACTTATCGGTGCTGGTCTGTTAGAGGAGTCTGTAAGTAAGGAGAACTTAAAATTTTCCTTGTAGGTCTCTACAGCCCTATAACCAAAATATCAACCCTTTTTATAGCATTCTACATAGTTTTTAGATACAAAAACATATAAATAATAGTAGAAATTTCCGAAAATTTTCCACTATTTGTTCGAAAGTGGTTTTTCAAATCCATTTTTCAAAGCTGGATTAGAAATGAGCAAATGATATCAAAACTTTCGAATTTCGTCAATCTTTTAACAATGGATTTTGTTATTTTTTCGCAATCAAAACCTATTCAAAACACTACAAAAATACCTTATAGCTATCCCCTACAGTTAGGTGAAAGAACAAAAAGTGGTTTCTCCCCCGCACTAACAGTCCAGGACCGCCCAATCAACGTCAGGCTTTAGGTCTCGCACCCATGAAGAGTGCGCTGCGTTCTTCGCCGCCTCGAACAAAGCCCAGGAGGAAATCAAAGCCGCTTTCGCCGGCGACGATCCTTGGATGTGGAGGCCAACCGGTGGCCGAAGAAAAATCGCAGGACCATCACGGATGTGGGCTGCTTGCGCCCCCGTTTTCATCTTTTTTTTCAGCGTTTTGCCGCCACGGAACGTGCGGAACTCGCGCTGAAGGAGTGGTCGAAGAAGGCCCCGTACAACTCGCTGCCCACCCGCGAGAAGGCCATTGATCGTCTGGTAGTATCGAGACGAGTTTATCCCCAAAAACCACGTTCAGTTTTGTGGCCCGGTGCTGCGCGGCTCCAGCGGGGAATCGTTTACGGTATCGATTTGTTTTTTGTTGGATCTATTTCTGCATTACAGCCGACGATGGAATTCGAGCCCCCGGAAGATCAGGTCACGTGCCAATACCCCGTGTACCACTGACGTGCGACCCACCTTCTTTTTTTGTAACCAATACTCGCTCATTCGCTGCTTGTGATTCTGTATGCGTTTTTATTTAATAAACGAGTGCCTGTACTAACATGTAAAGACAGAAAGATAGAGAGAGAGAGAAAAGGGAGAAAACGATAGATAGAGGCAGATGCAGAGACCGGGAGCGAGAGCTAGAGCTAGAGAGAGAGAGGGAGAGAGAGAGAGAGAGAGAGAGAGAGAGAGAGAGACAGAGGCAGAGATAGAGAGCGGGAGAGCCAGAGAGAACGATAGTGCACATTAGTATGACCCTAAAGTTGGTTTCAACACATGAAGCCGTTTATGCTGCCATAAAACCAGGACCAATCTGATGTACAACGCAACTGGTATAACGAAAGAATGTCGAAACGGTTCTAGAAATTACAAAACGATGCTAGAAATTGCCGAAGCGGTTCCAGAAAATGCCGAAACGATGCTAGAAAATGCCGACACGGTGCTAGAAAATGCCGAAAAGGTGCTAGAAAATGCCGACACGGTGCTATAAAATGCCGAAACGGTGCTAGAAAATGCCGAAAAGGTGCCAGAAAATGCAGAATCGTGCTATACAACGCCGAAACGGTCCCAGCAAATGCCGAAACGGTGATAGAAAATGCCGAAACGGTGCTAGAAACGGTGCCGAAACGCTTGATGACATCACGCAGCAGGGAGTCACGACTATACCAGTAGCTTAAAAGTCTTGGCTTGAAGCGGAAGCATTGCAAGTCGATTTCATGGCGACTGGCAGTCTATTTAGGACCCGACCAGGGTTGTTCACCGACGGACCCGGATCGGTAAGGATCCGGATCGGATCTGGATCCGGATCCGGATCGGATCCGCAGTAGGATCCGGATCCAGATCCAGATCCGGATCCGCTCGGATTCGGATCCAATGCGGATCCGATGAAAAAAGGGACCGGAAGTAATATTCTCGATTCTGATGCTGATTCGGTCATGTTAATCGCAAAAATACATAGCCCAGAGGCAGAACTGATCTTTGCATCTAAGAATTAGCACTTAACTCCTTTGCATGATCCATTTCCTTGGATCCGGATCGGATCGGATCCGCCCTGGATCTGGATCCGGATCCGGATCCTACGGCGGATTCGGATCCGGATCCGATCCAGATCCAGATCCGGATCCAGTCCGATCCGAAAATGACCAACCCTGGACCCGACCAATTTAGGAAAAATAATATGAGCTCGAGAAAGTCGAACTACGCAACAATACGCTCGATGACACCACGCGGCAGGGAGTCACGACTCTACCAGTAGCTTAAAAGTCTTGGCTTGAAGAGGAAGCATTGCAAGTCGATTTCATGGCGACTGGCAGTCTATTTAGGACCCGACCAATTTAGGAAAAATAATATGAGCTCGAGAAAGTCGAACTACGCAACAATACGCTCGATGACACCACGCAGCAGGGAGTCACGACTCTACCAGTAGCTTAAAAGTCTTGGCTTGAAGCGAAAGCATTGCAAGTCGATTTCATGGCGTTTGGCAGTCTATTTAGGACCCGGCCGATCTAGGAAAAATACTATCAAGACGAGAAAGTGGAACTACGCAACAATACGCTCGATGACACCACGCAGCAGGGAGTCACGACTCTACCAGTAGCTTAAAAGTCTTGGCTTGAAGCGGAAGCATTGCAAGTCGATTTCATGGCGACTGGCAGTCTATTTAGGACCCGACCGATCTAGGAAAAATAATATGAGCTCGAGAAAGTCGAACTACGCAACAATACGCTCGATGACACCACGCAGCAGGAGTCACGACTCTACCAGTAGCTTAAAAGTCTTGGCTTGAAGCGGAAGCATTGCAAGTCGATTTCATGGCGACTGGCAGTCTATTTAGGACCCGGCCGATCTAGGAAAAATACTTACAAGACGAGAAAGTGGAACTACGCAACAGTACGCTTGATGACACCACGCAGCAGGGAGTCACGACTCTACCAGTAGCTTAAAAGTCTTGGCTTGAAGCGGAAGCATTGCAAGTCGATTTCATGGCGACTGGCAGTCTATTTAGGACCCGGCCGAGTCAGGAAAAATAATATGAGCTCGAGAAAGTCGAACTACGCAACAATACGCTCGATGACACCACGCAGCAGGGAGTCACGACTCTACCAGTAGCTTAAAAGTCTTGGCTTGAAGCGGAAGCATTGCAAGTCGATTTCATGGCGACTGGCAGTCTATTTAGGACCCGGCCGAGTCAGGAAAAATAATATGAGCACGAGAAAGTCGAACTACGCAACAATACGCTCGATGACACCACGCAGCAGGGAGTCACGACTCTACCAGTAGCTTAAAAAGTCTTGGCTTGAAGCGGAAGCATTGCAAGTCGATTTCATGGCGACTGGCAGTCTATTTAGGACCCGACCGATCTAGGAAAAATACTTACAAGACGAGAAAGTGGAACTACGCAACAATACGCTCGATGACACCACGCAGCAGGGAGTCACGACTCTACCAGTAGCTTAAAAGTCTTGGCTTGAAGCGGAAGCATTGCAAGTCGATTTCATGGCGACTGGCAGTCTATTTAGGACCCGACCGATCTAGGAAAAATAATATGAGCACGAGAAAGTCGAACTACGCAACAATACGCTCGATGACACCACGCAGCAGGAGTCACGACTCTACCAGTAGCTTAAAAGTCTTGGCTTGAAGCGGAAGCATTGCAAGTCGATTTCATGGCGACTGGCAGTCTATTTAGGACCCGGCCGAGTCAGGAAAAATAATATGAGCTCGAGAAAGTCGAACTACGCAACAATACGCTCGATGACACCACGCAGCAGGGAGTCACGACTCTACCAGTAGCTTAAAAGTCTTGGCTTGAAGCGGAAGCATTGCAAGTCGATTTCATGGCGACTGGCAGTCTATTTAGGACCCGACCGATCTAGGAAAAATACTTACAAGACGAGAAAGTGGAACTACGCAACAATACGCTCGATGACACCACGCAGCAGGGAGTCACGACTCTACCAGTAGCTTAAAAGTCTTGGCTTGAAGCGGAAGCATTGCAAGTCGATTTCATGGCGACTGGCAGTCTATTTAGGACCCGACCGATCTAGGAAAAATAATATGAGCTCGAGAAAGTCGAACTACGCAACAATACGCTCGATGACACCACGCAGCAGGGAGTCACGAATCTACCAGTAGCTTAAAAGTCTTGGCTTGAAGCGGAAGCATTGCAAGTCGATTTCATGGCGACTGGCAGTCTATTTAGGACCCGGCCGATCTAGGAAAAATACTTTCAAGACGAGAAAGTGGAACTACGCAACAATACGCTCGATGACACCACGCAGCAGGGAGTCACGACTCTACCAGTAGCTTAAAAGTCTTGGCTTGAAGCGGAAGCATTGCAAGTCGATTTCATGGCGACTGGCAGTCTATTTAGGACCCGGCCGATCTAGGAAAAATACTAACAAGACGAGAAAGTGGAACTACGCAACAGTACGCTTGATGACACCACGCAGCAGGGAGTCACGACTCTACCAGTAGCTTAAAAGTCTTGGCTTGAAGCGGAAGCATTGCAAGTCGATTTCATGGCGACTGGCAGTCTATTTAGGACCCGGCCGATCTAGGAAAAATAATTACAAGACGAGAAAGTGGAACTACGCAACAGTACGCTTGATGACACCACGCAGCAGGGAGTCACGACTCTACCAGTAGCTTAAAAGTCTTGGCTTGAAGCGGAAGCATTGCAAGTCGATTTCATGGCGACTGGCAGTCTATTTAGGACCCGGCCGATCTAGGAAAAATACTTACAAGACGAGAAAGTGGAACTACGCAACAGTACGCTTGATGACACCACGCAGCAGGGAGTCACGACTCTACCAGTAGCTTAAAAGTCTTGGCTTGAAGCGGAAGCATTGCAAGTCGATTTCATGGCGACTGGCAGTCTATTTAGGACCCGGCCGATCTAGGAAAAATACTTACAAGACGAGAAAGTGGAACTACGCAACAGTACGCTTGATGACACCACGCAGCAGGGAGTCACGACTCTACCAGTAGCTTAAAAGTCTTGGCTTGAAGCGGAAGCATTGCAAGTCGATTTCATGGCGACTGGCAGTCTATTTAGGACCCGGCCGATCTAGGAAAAATACTTACAAGACGAGAAAGTGGAACTACGCAACAGTACGCTTGATGACACCACGCAGCAGGGAGTCACGACTCTACCAGTAGCTTAAAAGTCTTGGCTTGAAGCGGAAGCATTGCAAGTCGATTTCATGGCGACTGGCAGTCTATTTAGGACCCGGCCGAGTCAGGAAAAATACTATCAAGACGAGAAAGTCGAACTACGCAACAATACGCTCGATGACACCACGCAGCAGGGAGTCACGACCCTACCAGTAGCTTAAAAGTCTTGGCTTGAAGCGGAAGCATTGCAAGTCGATTTCATGGCGACTGGCAGTCTATTTAGGACCCGGCCGAGTCAGGAAAATACTATCAAGACGAGAAAGTCGAACTACGCAACAATACGCTCGATGACACCACGCAGCAGGGAGTCACGACTCTACCAGTAGCTTAAAAGTCTTGGCTTGAAGCGGAAGCATTGCAAGTCGATTTCATGGCGACTGGCAGTCTATTTAGGACCCGACCGATCCAGGAAAAATAATATGAGCACGAGAAAGTCGAACTACGCAACAATACGCTCGATGACACCACGCAGCAGGGAGTCACGACTCTACCAGTAGCTTAAAAGTCTTGGCTTGAAGCGGAAGCATTGCAAGTCGATTTCATGGCGACTGGCAGTCTATTTAGGACCCGGCCGATCTAGGAAAAATACTTACAAGACGAGAAAGTGGAACTACGCAACAGTACGCTTGATGACACCACGCAGCAGGGAGTCACGACTCTACCAGTAGCTTAAAAGTCTTGGCTTGAAGCGGAAGCATTGCAAGTCGATTTCATGGCGACTGGCAGTCTATTTAGGACCCGGCCGATCTAGGAAAAATACTTACAAGACGAGAAAGTGGAAC